AGGAATGCTGTTATAATTTATTGAGGTATTGAGAAGTTACAACTGATAGAGATATTTATTAATATTTATTCTGATTGTTTCTTAGTAGTCTATTTTTGGCATAGATGAAATTATGTCTATCCAGCCAGGAGCTTCAGAGTGAGATGGGATAATTGTAAAAGTGTTTCTAGAACAGAATTATCATCCACTCCCAGCTAAGAGAAAGGGTTACTTGTTGAAAGATGTGTAGAGCAACATAAACGCTCCGGTTTCAAGAGAACAGGCTGACAGTAAAGAAATGGGCTTTCAACACACACCATGGTTTTGAGTTTGATTATAATTTGCCTTTTTCAAACTATGCAACTGTGTCTTTGAGGTACCTGGGGAGGTATTTTCTCACTTGTTTAATTTTACACTGGAATAAAATGAATTGTCAGTGATGATCTGCTTACAGAAACCATTTTATATAGGACTATAAGGAGAGTGGGTATTCTTTGAGCTCTTCAAATGAATCTAATCAACACACATACACGGAATATGCAGTATCAACAGGCAAAAATCATTATTTCTGTAACCTCCAATGTATGAAAGCGAAATGCACAAAACCCTAATTTGATCATTTAAATGGAGAGTGGGTGCATAACTTACATGTGTGGTAATTCATGCTACAAAGAATTCATCTCCAGCTTCCTCTAGATAACACCATCCTCGTTTACTTAGAGTTCTTCAAACCCTGATGATCCAGAAGCTTTATAACCAAGTCTGCTCCATAAGACCACGAATGAATAGACCTCAGCCTGATTCTGTTGGGTTTCCTGTTAAGAGAGGTGGAATGACCGAAACAAAGACCCTGGGTCTGGGTGATTCATTAGGAGACAAATACATTAGTCAAAGCTTCTGTGTTAAGATACCAACAGTCACTTGAAATTTGGGAAATTAAACAGGCTTAATATATAGGGATCCTTGGCAACATATTACTGGACTCTTGGTGAACCACTCTATTAACCTAGGTAGGAAGTTACACGCAGGGAAGTCTGGAGCAATCCTGGGAGGACTGCATTGCCACTGATTAAAAGGGGGACAGGGAAGCACTTAGGGACCCCCGGGGAAGGCTCATTCTTACACTCCAGTTTTTAGTCTTCTGAAAACTGTCCTTTAATCATCAGGTATTACAAAGGAAGATAAGCAAGGCAGGAAGATAACCTGCACAGATCAACACACAAGTTCAAAGGGAAGAGCTGGAGGGAGACCATTTACCCTTTTAAGTTCCTGTTCACCTTTTTTTTGAAAAAATATTTATTTAGGACTTCCCTGGTGGCGCAGTGGTTAAGAATCCGCCAGCCAGTGCAGGGGACGCGGGTTCGAGCCCTGGTCCAGGAAGATCCCACATGCCTCGGAGCAACTAAGCCCGTGTGCCACAACTACTGAGCCTGCGGTCTAGAGCCCGCGAGCCACAACTACTGAGCCCGCGCACCTAGAGCCTATGCTCTGAAACAAGAGAAGCCACCGCAACGAGAAGCCCACGCACTGCAACGAAGAGTAGCCCCCGCTCGCTGCAACTAGAGAAAGCCCACGTGCAACAACGAAGACCCAAAGCAGCCAAAAATAAATACATACAAAAATTTATTTATTTTAAAATACTTATTTATTTGGCTGTGCCGGGTCTTAGCTGTGGCACACGGGATCTTTAGTTGTGGCATGTGGGATCTGGTTCCCTGACTAGGGATTGAACCTGGGCCTCCTACATTGGAAGCACAGAGCCTTAGCCATTGGACCCCCAGGGAAGTGCCCCCTGTTCACCTTCTTGAGAGGGGTTTCACAGGGTAAGAGGGGGTGGTCAAATTGGCTGGAGGGAATGAAGCAATGGGGGAGGGTGGAGATAGAAACCTGTCTCTCCTCCAAGGCTGGCTCCCCTTCCTCAGAGTGCCTTACTGTTCCGACACTGTCGCCACATGGACCCCAACCTGAAAGGGAAGCAAAGTGCCACACACACTCCAAGACAAGTTTTATTTGGGAAGAGTTTCTAATTGTTAAAGCTGCAAGCAAGTTCCCTTCACAAGTATAGTTCTACAGACCTAGTAGTTTCAGAGATCCCAGTGTTCAAAGGTACACCTCAAAATTAATAACAAAAACACACCCACGGTGAAAGGGAAGAGCTATTAGACTGATTTGGAATGTACAGCCATGGATTTCAGCTGTTCTCAGAAACAAGCCCACCACTTCCTTGGGAACCAGGCGGGATGGAGGCAATGCCCGCAGAAGGACATGTCTTTAAACATGTTAGCTACTTGGGCAAGGTTACCCATTCCTTAGAAAACACAGTAAGCAGCAAGTCTCAGCTGGTGGGGTAAATGGCACAGGCCCAGTTCACAGGGCGCTTATGGGATCCCAGGATCGGCAGCTGTTGGGAATGGCACACGAAGTAAAAGCCGTGATAGAAGGGACAGTGCTGAGGGGCAAGGAGTCTCTCTCAGACCCACCCGGCCTCTAATTTGCTACAGCAGAGGCCATGTTCTGCAGTATCTTCAGAGAAACATTTGTCACAGTTAAAAAACAAAAACAAAACCCGTTCATATTATTCCCCAGGAAGTCCGTGTCTGCAAAGAAAAAGGGACTTGGTCAGGGTTCCCACGGGGGACTCCGCCTCCCATCCACTTCTGTTTCCACGTGATACAAGACGTCAGCCAGAGTGTGTTCCACCACGGCGCCCCAGCCCATGTCACTCATCTGCGGGAGGAACAAGGAACAGAGAGGTGAGGTGAGACTGGAGTAACTGCAGCAAGAAGACTGAGGATGCACGCAGACATGTTCAACGTTACTCACAGGGCGGTACATGAGATCCTTTGGAGGATACTTGAAGCACGGTCCAAAGTTAATGGAGACCTGGGATAAATTCAATCCAAGCAGACATGAAGAAACAAAAGAAGAAAGTAATGAAAACCTTAACGTGACATGGGAAATTTCTCGCTTTAAATGTAGCTGTGATATTCACGGTATAACTGAAACAAATGATATACATTAATACTGCTAAAAGTGGTCAATACCCTATAACTGCCATCAAGCATTAGGTAAATAAAATAAACTTGTGCTGATTTCTGTTTATAACCTAAAGATTTCCTTATATGGCTTCAATGGGGGCTACTGACAGAGTAAGAGGACATGGAAACTTCCAGGCACTGCCTTTTCAAATAATTTGGTTTCTTTAGCTGGTAGGCTCTAATGATAGTCCCTTCATGCTGGATCGTATTTTTTTTTAAATCACTATAAGCAACAGTTACTAATGATGGTAGGTTATCACGACACAAAACACCAAATTGATTTATGCGTGTAAATACTTTATATCCTTTACACTGAACAACAGTGACCACACAGTACATCCAAAGGAAAGGTATGGGGCTTTACAATAACTGCATGATCTTTACCTGTCCAAGCAAATACTTCGTGGAGGACCCACATGTTTTTGGAACAAGGAGTAACAGTAGGAATATGCTCCCATCCCACTCCTAGGCCTTTCACATTTCTTTCTAGAATCCCATCAATGGCTCTTTCACCACAACCGTCCACCTATCTCCCTCAAGTTGTGTTCACAGGATGAACAGACGATACGTACCGTGCAGCTCTTGTACAGTGAGATGGCCGGAAAGTAAACCCCCTCAAAAATATCTTTGTAAGCCACACCTTGATTGACACCATTTTTATAAAAAATTATCTGAAACAAAAACCATGGTTTTACTTCAGAATTTTAAAAAAGAACAAACTAAAAAAGAACTCCGTTGGAGAACCCTTTATCAGCAGTATGGTGGCAGCACTTGAAGAAATCCTAAGAGTAGCATGTAGCTTGTGTAATAGCAATAGCTGACATTTATATAATACCTTAGATTTTTCAGAGCCTATCTACATGCTCTATTCCAGCTGGTCCTCAGGTTTTGTTTTTTTTTTTGAGATGCAATGGTGCCTTTTTTTTTTTCTTGGTCCTCAGGTTTATTTGCTTTCTGAATTCCTATGCTACTTATACCAAACAGTTCCACTTTCTGTTTTTCATTACATTATACTTATAAAAGGTAACTGGTCATCCACTGATTCCGTGCAACTATACCCTTTTGAGCTCATTTATCTGTCCCCTTCCCTTGCCTCAGGTCCTCATTTCTGCATTTCTACTTTGAAAATCTCGTAGGATCTTCTGTCAAAGTCTCTGAATCCGGGCTTCCCTGGTGGCGCAGTGGTTGAGAGTCCGCCTGCCGATGCAGGGGACACGGGTTCGTGCCCCGGTCCGGGAAGATCCCACATGCCGTGGAGCGGCTGGGCCCGTGAGCCATGGCCGCTGAGCTTGCGCGTCCAAGTCTCTGAATCCTTATTTCTTTGTCCTTTCTCTCTCAAAACTATCCGGAATATTCTCTTAACCACTATGGATGGACTTCAGAAAAGGCTCCTTTTTCTGAAGTAACTTTCTCTACCTCTTCTTCCCAGCAAGAGCTATCTTCTGCCTGGCTATATTTTCTGGCTGTGTTATCTCCTTAGTTCAATTAACTGTTTCCCTTTACTACTTTTTCCCTAAAAACAATTGGAATCCTAGTTTATTTCTCCTACATTTGCTTCTATTACTGATGCAAGTGGCTTCACAGCATTTTTATGGAAAAATGCTTCCAGCTCAGAACTTTCTTCCATCCCTTCCCCTTCTATTTTGTGCCCTTGTGGTTGGTCCAGATGCACCAGCCCTTCTTTGATTGTGCTATGACCTTGGGCAAACATGTTCCCAACAACCCTGGAGAAGGGAGGCAGGGAAAGTTCTAGAAGGCACTGAACGAGCCATCACAGCTCCTGCTGCCCCCCGGGTCACATAGCGAGGCCCTGAATCTCCTATTCCAGTTTCCTCCTTCTGCACTTGCTACCTCCTCTGACAAAGGATAAGTATCTCTGACTTGCTTCCTCAATTGCCCTCAGACTTTCTTATTTGGCCACTGTTTTATACCCCCTTTTCTCTAAGAATCCAGGTCATCGCTCTCATAGCGGCAGCAGGTAGCCCAGAAAGAACAAAACACGGCAGGCAGGAGAGTGCGCTGGCCTTGCTGCTGCTGTGTTAGCAGAAATCCCTTCATCCCCCCTGTGGGCCTCAATTCCCTCACTTTCATAATAAGGGGGTTGGACCCAATGTTCAAATTCTTCTAATTCTGACATTTTGATGACCATGACTCACCTCGCTATGGGGAGTCTGCTTTAGGCTCTTCTCTGCTTTATCCACAAAGTCTTTTTCTTCAAAATACAAATAACTCTTGAACTTTATCAAAGCCTTGAAAACCAAGAAAGGAAAGAAAAAAAAAAAAAAGGAAAAATGAAGCATCAGCTACATCATCATAGGGGGGAAAAAAAGCCAGATTCACACAAATAGCACTGAGTCCTTGTGTTCTGAACAGAAATTTAAAATCTTTGCAGAGTCAGCTTTGTTAGATTTTGAACAACTATGTGTGTCTTTAGAATTACCAGATGGCACGTGCTTGTTAAGTATTTTCACAAAAGGCCCTTACTATGACCGGCGGGGGGGGGGGGGGGGGGGGGGGGGTCACTTCCTTCCCTCCTAGTTCCCTACCTGTTTCTCCCACAGGTGGTCTCTGGGTCACTCCTTTCTTACTGGTTCCCAAGACTCTGTTTAACTGTAACTCTGTTCACTCCCAGGTAAACATATGACATTAATTTTCTTTTTTTAACTTTTTTTTGTGGCCGCACCACATGGCTCGTGGGATCTTAGTTCCCTGACCAGGGATTGAACCTGCATCCTCAGTAGTGAAAGCGTGGAGTCCTAGCCACTGGACCGCCAGGGAATTCTCTGACATTCATTTTCTTCTGAACAGTTCCACAGTATTCCATTTTATGGACATATTAGTAATTGCTTATTCAAATTAAAAACAAATTTTTATAATGGAAATGAAACAATAAATAATTTTAAGGATTCCAACAGTATCCTCGCAGTAACCGTAGACCTCTGTGCACTGTAGAACCAAGCACTCATATGGTTGAAGGTTCTAGGTGGTGGCAGGAGTGACGAGAGTCAGCAGTGTGATGCCACCAACACAATGTACTCTGACTGCTTATTATCAGAACAACCTTGGAGGAGACACCACCCGATTTAAGCACTTACTCTAAAGCTACCATAATCAGGACAGTGTGGCAGTGGCAGAAATAAAGGTCAACAAATAGATCAGCGGAACAGAGAGCCCAGGAATCGATCTCCACAGTCACTGGACTGTCACAAAAGGAATCAAAGAAATGAGGAAAGGAGTTTTCAAAAAATGGGGCTAGAATAAGTGGGTATCAACACAGGAAAAAAACCCCTAAACTTGGGGGCTTCCCGGTGGTGCAGTGGTTAAGAATCCACCTGTCAATGCAGGAGACACGGGGTCGAGCCCTGGTCTGGGAAGATCCCACATGCTGCGGAGCAACTAAGCCCGTGCGCCACAATTGCTGAGCCTGCGTGCCACACCTACTGAAGCCCGCACACCTACGGCCCGTGCTCTGCAACAAGAGAAGCCACCACAATAAGAAGCCCGTGCACCGCAACGAAGAGTAGCTCCCGCTCGCCGCAACTAGAGAAAGCCCACGTGCAGCAACGAAGACCCAACGCAGCCAAAAATAAATAAATAAATTTATAAAAAAAAAACTAACCTTGACCTCTACTCCACGTCATTCACAAGAATGAATTCAAGGTGGATCAGAAACCTAGATTAAGAGCTAAAACCATGTTTTCAAAGAAAACATGGAAGAATACCTTCATGACTTCCTGAGAGCAGGCAAAAATTTATTAACTCATAGAAAGCAATATAATTGTAAAGAAAAATCTGAGATGCACTTCATAAAAATTAAGAACTTCAGTTCATCAGAAGACACCATTAAGAAAATGAATAGAAGAGTCAGAGTAAGAGAAAAGTACTTTAAAAAAAGCCATTTCCAACAAAAGACTGTAATCCAGAATATATGAAGAACTCCTACAACTCATTAAGACGACGAACAACCCAATTTTTTTAAAAAGTCAAAATATTTGAACAGAAACTTCACAAAAGAAGACAGATGAATGGCCAGTAAGCACATGAAAAAATGTCCAATATCATTAGTCACCAAAGAAATGCTAATTTAACCAAATTACTACACACCCATCAAAGTGGCTAGAATTGTTTGATAACAACAAATGCTAGCAAGGATGTAGTGCAACTAAAATACTCATACACTGTTAGTGGGAATGGAGAGTCTGACAATCTCTTATAAAACTAAATGTATAATGACCCAGCAGTTCTATTTCTAGGCATTGACTAAAAAGAAATAAAAACATGTTGACAAAAAAGGTCTGTACAAGAATACGCATAGCAACTTTATGTATAATAAACCCAAACTTGAAATGGCCCCAGTGTCCATTAATAGGAATATAGGTAAGCACAATGTGGTATTGCACAATGGAAACTACCCTGCAGTAAAAAGGAACAAACCACAGATTCCTGTAACAGCATGGAAGAATGTCAAAAGCATTATAACAAACAATAAAAGCCAGACACAAAAGATCACACACTGCATGGTTCCATTTACATGAGTTCAAGAACAAGCAGAACTAATGGAACAGAATTGTGATGCGGGGAAAAATTCACAACAGTGGTTGCCTCAGTGCCGTAGGAGCTGGCACTGACTAGGATGGAGTATGAGGGAACTTCCTGAGGTGTAAGATTCAACGTCTCCACAGGGGGTTGGCTCAACCTCAAAACTCAGTGAAGGTACACTTAAAATTTGTGCATTTCATTTTATATTGTAAATTTTATATCAAAAGAAAAAACTAAACAAAAGTTAATCTCTAGCTAATGATATGCACCCTTAAGTACTTGGCGGGGGTTAAAAAAACATGGATGAATGGGTGGGTGGGTGGGTGTGCGGGTGGAGGAATGAATGCATAACATGTTAATGGCAGAATCTAGGTGATGGGTATTCGGACACTGACTTTTAAGTTCTTTCAATTTTGTTATGTCTTAAAATTTTCAAAATGAAATGTTGGGAAAGATGTAAATGGATAAGCATCATTAAGAGGACACACAGTTGAAGGCATCAGCTGCCACGGGTCTTCAAACCCAGGAATCTCTCGGGAGGACAGACTCACCTTATCTTTATAGGTATCGGGCAGTGACTTGGCTGTCTCTGTGTCTTCAGGAAGACTGATATAAAATCCCAGGACATCTCCCTGTCCATAGCCAGAAGAGTAGTGTTTGCCAATGGACTGGTGGAATTTGGTCCCCTTTTTGCTCCGCCAAGAATAGCTAAATTTATCATACCCTAAGGGAGCTTGAAGGTTACCTGTCCCAATAAAAAGATATACAGGAAGTCAGAACTGCAAGTCAACTCTGGTTTGCTAAAGGAAAATATTCTACTCCTTTTTTTACTTTTTTGCCTGTTTTGTAAAATGGCTAACAAACTATTTCTCACAAGCAATGAATTATAAAAATATTCCTAGGAACTGCAAACCACCTAAACCCTCAGGAATTGAATTTTATGACCACAATCCAATAAGCATACAAGTCGTGAAGCTTAGCCAGACGGTCTATACCTCCCTACCAGTTGCCACGTCCGTATCATAGCCCCAGCTTACCTAACGGCTGGGACCAGCCCAGTCTGGCAGCGGTGTCTGGCGGCATCTCATCCACCGTGATTTCAAAGTACCAGGCACCTTTCCGAACCCCATGAGAAGCTCGAACCATAGAGTAGCCCTTCTCTCCAACCACAGTCAGCCGGTCATCGGAGATCTTTAACTGGGGAGCTGCAGTGATGGAGATTAAAACAAAGGCCTGCAACTTATTTGAAATACTTGGGAGACAACTGCCACAAACTCTTACCCTCCAGTAAAACGAAATAAAAAATCAGAAATATCAAGTCAGGAATTTGAAATATTAGTTCAGGAGTTTAAAAGTCTCCAGATATAGATGAAGGAGGAGAGAGAAAGAAAAAGGAAGAAAGCTGTCCAGTAATCAGTTTTTATTAAATGTGATTACATAGAATGGCAGGTTAAAACTAATTATACTTGTCTATTCCCTAATATAACAAACCAATTGTAATGTGTTTGGATCCTGATGTGAATAAACCACCCTTTACAAGACTTTTTATTTGAAGCAATTTCAAAGTTTCAAAAATAGTGGAGTCCTCACATGTCCTTCACTCGGCTTGCCAAGTGCTAACACCATCTGTAACTATCACACAAGGATCAAAACCAGAAAACTGACATTGACACAATACTGTTACACTAATCTATAGGTCACCTTCGAGTTAAGCCAATTATCCAAATAACATCCTTTTTTTGTTCCAGGATCTAATCCAAGATCCCCCATTTCATCTAGTTGTCCTGTCTCCTCAGGTCTTTCATGACCCTGACATTTTGATGGGTACTGGTCACTTGGTTTGTAGAAATGTCCCTCAAACAGGTCTGTCCGATGCTTCCTCCTGTCTGGGTCCAGGTCACACCTCTGCTGGGACACCACTGCAGTACTGCCGGGCCTCTCAGTACGCCAGGTCAGGAAGCACATGCTGTCCAAATGGTGATGTTAAACTCTGATCACTTGGTTAAGGTGGTGCCTTCCAGGTTTCTCCACTATAAAATTACTATTTCCCCTTTGTAATTAATAAGTATTTTGTGGGAAGATAAAAAGATATTTGAGACAATCAAGGAAATCTGATTTGGACTGAATTCAGATGACAGCAAGGAATTATATGTTTTACTAAGTGTAATAAGAGCTTGTGGCTATAAAAGCAAACTCCATACTTTTTAGAGATACATATTTTTAAGAGTACACAGGGTGAGACTTCTTAAAAATTTTTTAAAAAGAGTGAAATAAAGGAGCGGATAAAACAAGTACGGCAAAACCTTGATAACTGTTAAATCTGGGTGAAAACTCTATGCAGCTTCATTGTATTCACCTCTCGACCTCTGCATATAGTTTGAATCTTACTTCACTAAGAGACCATTATGTAACATAAGGGGACAATCTAAACCAACTGGAAGGGACACTGTGACTTGGAAGTGAAGCAAAAAATGACAAAAGGCGGGAGAGTATTTTCGTGCGGTGTAGGTTGATTTTATAGATGCAGAAGCATCTCCAACCCAATTAAGACTTAACTGAGGGAAAAGCATTTGAAATAGTGTTTGTGGGACTCCAGAAGTTGTCTGAATTCTGCTGGAAGAACAAAATGTAGTTTCATTAGCTTTTATAAAGCCTTACGATTTATGGAGTACTTTCACAGGCAGGTAGGTAGGTAGACAGATGGCCAGACAGACTCCCCCTCACAACTCCCACCTCCAGTCGAGAAGCAGACCACGTGGCTGTTCAAGATCACACCGCAGTTGGCAAAGCCTGATTGAAGCCCTGGCCGTGCACTCCTTCCGTGACCCCGCAATGGCTCTTGTATTCAGGAGATATGATGATAACCTCCCTAAATTAAATGCACGTTGTTTAACGGAACTTTCTTAGGTATTTGGCAAATCCTGCTTTCTCAAATACAAATGCTTCTTCCTTTACTCCTTCCTGATCAATTCAGTCCTAAAGCCATTAGGTGGGGCTGAGCAAGGTTAAGTGTCTGTGACAGAACAGGATATTAAAGGGTCTACCTCCTCACAAAACTTTTTAATTACAAAGGGAAAAAAGAGTAACTTTACAGTGGATAAACCTAGCAGATACCACCTTAGCCAAATGATCAGTGGACATCACCAGTAATGGGACACATTAAAGTCCTGCACCACCTACAGGATGTAGTATGTGAGATTATTTCTGTGATATTCCTGTTGAAGATGCACAACTTGGATCACTAGGAACGAGATGAAACCAAACTGAGGGATATTCTGTAAAATAACTGCCTTCTAACTTCCAAAAGCCTCAAGGTCAAAGTCTAGGAAAGATGGAGAAGCTGTTCCAGACTGAAGACTTAAGAGTCACGACAACTAAATGCAGCAAATGATTCTCAACTGGACCCTTCTGCTATAATGGACGTTCTGGATCAACTGGGCAAACTTGGACAGAATATGAGCATCAGATGGTGGTAATCAGATGCTAATTTCCTGATTTTGATCGTTGTGTCAGTTCTGTAAGATGTGAAAGTTTAAAAAAATACCCACTAGTTCTTTCATATTCTTCCTTTCAAGAGGTGGAGCCTAATTTCCCTCCACTTGAGTGTGGGCTGAATTTAGCAATTAATTTCTTGCAACAAATATAATGAAGTTGAAGTGACTGTCCCACTTCAAGACAGGTCAAACTCTTTACAGCTCTCTTGGAGAACTTTGCTCTAGGAGAAGTTAGTTTCCACGGATGAGGACAAATTAGCAGTCTATGGAGAGGCCCACACAGTCAGGACTTGAGGGTGTCCCGTCACAGCCACGTGACTGAGCCATCTTGGAAACAGACCGCCATCCCCAGCTAAGAGCTTGACTGCAACTTCCTGAGTTTTCCTGAGCCAGACCACACAGCTAAGCTGCTCCCAGATTCCCAACTCTCAGAAACTATGGGATGATAAACACTGGTAGTTTTAGAATGCTAAGTTTTATGGTAATTCATTATGTAGCACTAGGTAACACAAGGAGAATGTCCTTGTTTGTAAGAAATACACAATAAAGTTCTCAAAGGTGAGACAGCATCATGGCAACTGACTCTCAAGTAGTTCAGGAAAAAAAAAAGTTTAGTACTGTTCTTACAGTTTTTTTAAATAAATCTGAGATTATCTCAAAATAAAATGCTTAAAAGATACAATATAGATTTATTATTAACTTTTAAAAGGCTCAGCATAAACAGCAGGCAGCCACTGCTATCCTACGTATTAAATTCTAACATGTTACTGCTAAATAAGGGCCAGTGTTCTCCCATTTTTTCCCCTCCAGAATTATAGCTATTATGTATAGTGAAACACAACAAGGCTCACTTCTTAAACCCTGAAGTCACTTATTTGGCCCTTCCCTACTATCAAAGTATGCTTGTCACTCACAGGAGTCAAACCGATCCATGTACAATGGTCATTAAACTGAGGGGTTATGTCCAAGTGACTTCACTTGACTGCTTCACTTCTGAATGGCTAGCATCAGTACAAGTGTTACAGCTTTTAGCATCAATTCAAGAAATAATGAGTGGGCTTCCCAATGGAATAACTATATGGACATGTTTAGATTCAATTCAAAGAAACAACTGAAAGAGGCATATTTTAAACAATTGTGGAAATGTGAATATGGACTGAGTATGGAATAATTAAGAAATTATTATTCACCTCTATCAGCTAAGATAATGTGGCACAGTTGTTATGTTTCTTAAAATCCTTGTTGGAGATAAATACTGAGATATCTAAGGGTGAAATAATATGCTATCTTGATTTGCATTAATACTTCAGAAAAACAGCAAAGAAATCCATGAGGTACACTTGTCTAAAAGTAGTTTATTTAAATTCACTTTCACATTCTAACAGATAATGAATGCTATTCTCTGAATAATTGAATAAATTATGCCTTTAAAAGAACTATTATACATTAAAAAGAGTTTTGCATGACCAAAAAGTCATAAACAAAGTTAAAAGACAACTGACAAAGTGGGAGAAAATGTTCACAACATATTCCACAGACAAAGGGCTAACATTCCTAGCATATAAAGGGACAAAATACCAAAATTCCAACAGATAAATGGGAAATAAAAAAACACAAACATAATTCACAAGGTAATGACTCTTAAACATGAAAGAAAATGTTCAAACTCAAAGAAACACAAATTAAAACACTGAGATTCCATTTCTCACCTCTCAGACTGGCCAAAACTAAAATCTAGGACAACACCTTCTGTTTGTGAGGTTATGGGGAAACAAACATTCTCTACGTTGCTGGTGGGAATGCAAACCAGCACAGCCATTTGAAGGGGAATTTGGCAATATCTAATAAAACTAGGTATATACGTATTTACCGTTTGGTCCAGCAATTCCACTTCTAGAAATCAACCATGAACGTATACCACCAACAATACAAAAACACACACGCCCATGGTTATTCACTGCCTCCTGATGAATCCAAAATCCTGGAAACAATCTAAATGCCCATATTCAGAGTGGTTGAATAAACCATGTACATCCACATAATGCCATATCATAAAGTTAAAAAAAGAAAACACTGAGGATGAGCTCTTTGAACTGGCATATGGAGTACCTGCATGAAGCAAAATGCAAGACTATCTACAGCATGCTGCCCTTCATGTACGAAAAAAGGAGAAAAAAGGAAATACACGTGTGTGTGCTCACCTGTGCAGAAGAAATAAAGGATGAACTAGAAACCAGAGAGACTAGTCACGTAGAGGGTGGGTGGGAAAGTGGGAGAAAAAGAGGAAGTGAGAGTGGGGCAGCAGGGGTGAGGAGGGATGACACTCTGGGCAAACCTTTGTGAACAACAGTAGCTCTAGAACTACAGTAATGTTGCACATACCCTTCACACTCTCCCCTGACACAGATGCACATGCCCCCAAGATGTGGGAGAACCCCAAATGGCATACCAATACAAACAATTGAGCCTACCGTATCACAAATGAAAAACATAAGCACACTGAAGGAGGGGGGGAAAGAAAGAACTAATCTAAGTTAGCATTATCCTGATGGGATATGCAAGGCTAAGACAGAAAAAGCTGTACATAAATGCTGTAATCTAGTTAGGGAATGTTTCCTACAGTGGTTTGCAATTCTCAAACCACCTTATGTGCATATTAGACATGAATGAGTAAGAAAATGTATTGGAGGTAATTAGAGTCAGGTTTTACTGTTCAAGAAAGAAGTTACAAATATGGAAAGGTGGAAGGCTGGAACAACCTTGTGGTGTTTCATTAAAATCCAAGGTAGCAGAGTAAACTCTGTATAGGCATGTATATATGTGTCGTTCAGGATACGGACATACATTTCCCACCTCGGTCCACGGAGGGAGCCTAGAAGCAACACCCTGTAACAGTAAGCACACAGAACACTCACATCTTCATTTCTAAACACCATTCTCCAATCAAAGGAACCCGGGCTCCTTGGAGACGGAGCCGATACTTGGCCTGGAGCACGGAAAATATGAGATGAACCAAAAACATCTTGTGACGCCAGCAAGTAAGAAAAAAAAATGATGGGGCTTATCGAAAGGACACAAGATTCCATTCGCAACAACGTAGGTGGACCTGGAGGGTATTATGCTCAGTGAACTAAATCAGACAGAGAAAGACAAATACTCTGTTATCATTTATATGTGGAATCTAAAAAACCAAATGAATGTACATGACAAAACAGAAAGAGACTGACAGATATAGAGAACAGACTAGTGGTTACCAGGAGGAGAGGGAAGGGAAGAGGGGTGAGACAGTGTTAGGGGATCAAGAGGTACAAACCACTATGCATAAAACAAATACCCAATATAAAAATTTTTTAAAAATAAAAAAATAAAGCAACTATACCCGAATTTTAAAAAAATGATGCTTTAAGGATATATTGTACAGCATCAGGAAATATAGCCATTACTTTATAATAACTTTAAATGGAGTATAATCTATAAAAATATTGAATCACTTTGCTGTACACCCAAAAGTAATACAATATTGTAAGTCAACTATACTTCAATTAAAAAAAAAAAGAAAACACAGGAACCAACCTAAAGAAGCTCCTAATGGCCAAAGCTGGAGTAATTTGAGCAACAAAATAAATATCTGTTAAATGCACACTGATAAAAATAATCAATTAAATAATAAAGAAAGGAAGGAATAAATAGCAAACGACCAGGCAAATACCATATTAACAACTGTTGCTGACAAGATCCACTGATGGATGCTAAAATTAGTGGGCAAAACTTTACAGAGAAACGGGATACTTGCATAGCCTCGCAGTAACTTTCCCTAAGATATTTATGAACTACAAAGGGAAAGACAATAGAGACAGCAGAAACCACCTTAACACAACCAATAATAAGACAACACAACCAATAATAAGACACATCGACATTACCAGCTCATGAGGTGATGCACTGGGAAGGATTCATGTCTGCGGTGTTCTTCTGAAAGTGCAACACCTCAGTCTAATCGTGAAAAAAAGTCAGACAGACCCTCACTGAGGAACAGTCAACAAAGTAACTGATTAACACTGCAACAGACTAAGGAGAAATAACTAAATGCAATGTGAGATCCTATAAACGAGGCACTAGAGGAAAAATTGGTGAAATTTAAATAAAGTCTTTAGTTTCATTCATAGCATTTACTGATGTTATTTAATCTCCTGGTTTTGATAACTGTACTATGGTTACGTAAGATCTTATTATTAGGAGAAGCCTGATAAGGGATATATGGAAATTCTATTATTTTTGCAACTGTACTGTAAGTTTAAAATTAGTTCAAAATAGAAAGTTAAAGAAAACCCGACATACCATATATAATTGGCTAGAGCTTATAAGAAGAGAAAAGGAAGAAATTATTTCTTGCACATCCCGGCTGGGTCTAGTCAGAGATGGGGGTGAGGGAGCAGTAGCAGAATGACATGTCTGTCGAATTCCAGACGGGACACAGCTGACGACAGAAGTTCAAAGTAACACTGGGTCCAACACGAACATTAATAGCTCACCTACCTCGATCATGTAGGGCTAACAAAACCCGTTCATACAAGCAGGCTCTGTAGAGGTCTCCAGGAATCGGTTTTCCTGCCCAGCAGTCGAGTTCAAGCTTCTCAGGGTCAGGGGCGTGGGGATCGGGCTCAGCTAAAATATACCGATAGCCATCTTTGTTAAATGGGTGTTCCAAGGGGTAGCCATGAGGGGGAAGGCGCTGAGCAGAAAACAAAGGGTCACTGCAGAAAGGAAAAAATAAAATCAAGAAACTAAAACCCCCTCTAGCTCCAGTGCCTTCAATTCTGTAAGAAAGGCCTCTGATTTATTAGAGTTCAGCTGGAACACATGTAACTTCAAATGCTTTTCATTATTCAAATAGATGATCCTGCCCTCTGCAGGCAAAACGGGGAAATGAAAATTACTTTAATCTGTATGGATACCTATGAAACTGAGCCAGTAGACCACAGGGGAGAAAGGGTGCAGAGGAACAAGGACAGTTGCCTTTAGCATATTTATTACTATAACTAATGAACAGAAACTCAAGAGATATGAGCACTTACTACCTGTTTCCAGACTGAATAAGAAATGACCTGGATTTCGCCACCTCAGTACTGAACAAAGTGAAGGCAACAGCCATCAGAGGGGAGAGGCAGAAAGTTTATGTAAAAGGGCTAACATTCAATATCGGTTTCACTCTCTCTGGTCCATCTACTATTCCTCAAGATGCTTTAATGGAACTTTACTCCCAGGTAAATCACCACAGGTGTGCTGCCCCAGGGCTGTTGCCCCAGGGCTGTTTCACTAAGTAACAAGTTCCTAAAACAGGTCACCTAGTCTGGGGCTCATTTGCCCCTCAAAGTGCTAAGGATTTGAGCAAAAGGGACAGGCTTGCGTCCTCAGACACCTGAGCCCTTCCTCGCTGACGGACTCTGCCAGCCGCAGAGGGCACTCTAACAGTGGTGAGTGGGGTGGGTGTTCTGCCCACCTCCGGGCCTTCTTGGTGGTCCCTGTGGCCCCGCCATCCTGCTGTTTGCGCTTAGCTCCTCTTCCTTTTCCACTGCTTCCCGCTGCAATTCCCCCTTTAAAGAAAAGGCAGATCACTTTCAATGAGCTGTGACAGATGCCCCATGGGGATGCTAACACTCCCAGCGTGCATTTGTGTAACACCACAGGAGGATTTCCTGCCTGAAAGCAGACTGCGCTTCACCCTGGTTCAGAACGAGTCTGCCGAGCGGCTCCCACCCCAGGACTCTGGGTTCTGGCAGTAAGTCCAGTGAACCTAGCACTAACGATATCTGTGTTATAGTTTCGACCTTCACTTCTTAAATGAACTGCAACTACTAGTACACTTTCCAAGGATGTGACACAAATGCATTTTCACTCGTTCAGATTCCAAATACCCACAGCTAGAAACAAGTGCATGGATAAAACCCTTTTCCACCCAAATGAATACAAACACCCATAAGGAGAGAATATCCCCACTACAAGGGGGGAGCGCGCGTGCTTGAACTCCACATGGCGCACACTCCATAAGCATAAGAGAGGCACAGCATCTGCTAAAGCACTGGACTTGAATTTCCAACAAGACAAAAGTACACCAAACGTGGAAAACAAAAACAGAGGTACTAAAAAGGTGTTTCTGTCCAGTGCCGCTAGGCATCCAGTATGGTTGTCTGTGACACGAGCAGGAGAGGCGGCTTTAAATTTAGCAGGCGATCTTTACAATTATTAAAATTGTGCCAATGCCCCAAATTTAGGTTAGACTAACCTGGCTTGTGGAATTAAGAGAAAATACCCATGGAGAATTTATAAATTTTATTTTTTTAAAAATGAGCTACATACAAGGGCCACAAGGAATACTACCTTGTATATTTCTAAAATAGGTACTCTGAAATATTTGTCCAGTTCTGTCATTCCTCTCAGTTTGTTTTTCGAACTTCCAGAAAGTATCCCTGGACTGCAGGAAAACACCTTTATGTAAACAACTGCATGAAGTACACTGTATCTTAATTTGGGGCAAGCTTGGAAATTATCAGCAGTTCTGCTGCAATAAAAGGAGGATCAAGACACTGAAGGCAGGTCATATTCTGCGTAGACAGGACCAGATTCATGCTGAACTTCCTTTTACGAACATACAAGGTTGTCATTCCTAGTCCTCATAAAAGGCTTAATGTTAAACGGCTGCAACATTAACATCTCTAGTTCAAGTTACCTTAATCAAAAAACTATTAAGTTTTTATTGGCATCTGCAGTTCAATTATTTTGAGAGAAGTTTTAGATCCATCTTGAACAAAACAAGCAACACAAAGGGGACTACTGGCCATGTTAGGCAGAATATGACAACGTACAAGCTTCCAATTACTAACATTAAACCGGAACTACTGTTTCATATCGAGTGCTACTGCCACCATCTCCACGATGCTTTAAAAATTTAACTTAGGTTTAGCTTCTACCACAACTCAGCGAAAAGCATTTTCCAAAACACAAAATACTTAAGTCTGAGAGGCTGAAAGAAGACAGAGGAGGAATTCACCTCCAAAAGAGGCTCCACCTGTAAGAACAGAAGTGGCACCATGTATTTGTCAAATGTTAACAATTAAAAGGAGATTAAAATTACAATTATGTAATTTAACAATTACATAACTTTAACAAATAATGTAAAAAGATGAACAATACACTTAGCTATTTCCCACCCATCTTAGAATATTAGTAACAGTGGAAATGTTACATATTTAATATGCTACCACTCCAAGAGACAAGGTAATGACACCATGTGTCAGATGAGTAGCTAGCTACCTCCCCATTATACCCACTCTCATTAGATTACCATTAGCAGCAAAGGGCTTTCCTGCTCTTAGATGGGTTAGAGAGAAAAATATGCTACAGTGGGTGATCAACACAGAAATGCTGTCATGTGAATAAGCTGAAGATTAAGGGCAAGAAAAATGAGACGATGGGCAGGAAGTGTATTATTATATAGCAGCTGAATTAAGGGAAAAGAGTGCAGAGCAAGTGAATCTAAATTAAGTGTTAGTTATGAAGATACAGATGGGGAGTCTAATATAAACACAGTGAATCTGACCTTAAAATTGTACCTTGTTTTATGCTAAATCTGTTTCACTTAAGACCAAACTGTAGTGTAAAGCAACAAAAAGTTCTCCCCTACTACCATCTGTCAAACCCTTGGCTAGCTCCTAAAAACTGAGATTTGGACTTTAAAGCATCTTAGTAAATATCCAGTTAAGAGTCAACCCAAAGACTGCCTAATTCTAGGCACATCTGAATTCAACAGCTTACAAGTATTTCATCGATGAGACACTGAAACACTTACCATTTAGATTCCCACTGGTAGACACGGCACTGCTTTGTTTTTGGTTGTCATAAGCAGGACCAATGTTACTAAGATCCTAGAGGGAAAAATATTCAATTATAAAGGGAGGCTATCTAATCAAACCAACCTGGCAGTGCTCAAAAGAACAGGAGAAATTCTAATTGAGTGACAGCCTAGATCTGAAACCTGCAGAGGTCCCAAACTTAGATGCTTCAGGGATCAGCCAGTAACACATGTGACGCAGCCAAATGTAAGGATCCAAGTGGTTTAAGAATGAGGATGAGTGGCAACCAACCCGTGCTGGGGGGTACGGCCGGGCCAAGGGCGCACCTCCCTGTGGGAACCAGACCCAGTGTAGTCAGAGATTTGAATTTTTTTCTCTTAGAGCTTCGCATTTTACAAGAAAAGGCAGAAATCTGAATTTCTATATGAAATCTTAAATTTTCAATGTGGGCAAATCAAACACTTCGAGGCACAGCTGAAAGATCTGACCTCCTGAGATGCTGAATGTGACCCCTGCCATTTAAACAAAGAGGGGAAGTTTTCTTTTTCCTCATATTATGCTAGATACACAACACAAATTCTTCTTCACAGCAAATTTTTCTTCACACTAACAAATGTTTTTAGAGCAAAATTTGAGATGGAAAGAAAAGGAGAAATAACTTGGAATGGCATATTTGTGTTACAAGTGAGGAAATGCAAGTTAAAAAAGATAATAACGACAAGCATCGAGTCATAACATTTTAGGGAAGAGCCAGAACTAAAACACCAGTCTCCTGGTTTAAGGTGAGTGTTCTTTCTGTCCATGTGTAGTAAGAACCATTTATTTGGAACCCACCATGCTACGGGCATTTGTACATGGCAAATATACAAATGTCAACAAAGCCTGATTCTCTCTGCCCCCATGGCTTAAAAATCAAAAGGGGACTATGAAGCATATTAATGTACCTGATCCAGAAGGCCAAATTTGGGGTAATCTTCTTCTGGGTCCTTACTCCCAGGATCGGGGTGTTCCTTTACTAAGAATACATCTCTTTCTTTACTCTAAAAGGAAACAGTATTTTAGTATTACTGGAAATTTTATACTTAAAATGAATGGATGATGAACCGCTAACTCCAATCCCTAGGTGTAATCTCCAAATCCCAAAGCCCCCCGCCAGAAAAAAACCCAACACACAACAGTATTGTTCTTCCCTGATTAGAAAATTAATGCATGACCATCAAAAAATTCAAACAATAGAGAAACTTAAAAAAATGAGAGCCACTGTCCTTCATAACCCTCACCCATCCCTGCATCTCACAGAGATACATACTGTTAACAGCCTGTGCTGACTTCTCCCCAGGTGCTCTAATTCTAAGGACAATAATGTTCAGAGTTTTTTTTTTAATAAAAGAAAACAATTGTCTCCAATTTCAATATAAAAAATTATACTTGCCAAAGTGCACTGGACAAAGGTTTCAGCGTCATACATAAAACTACCATGTCTTCATTTAAGACACAATGTGCAATTTACTGATTTTGTGTGAAAACTATTAAAATTTACAATTGCGCTCCAAGATTTAATACTAGGTTGTTCTCATTTTCTCAGTCATCACATTATTTCAGTGAGGCCAAAAAAAAATATATATATATATATAAATTCTTACAAGGAACACTGGTTTTCTAAATGTTGAGTCTAGTCAATTTTAGCCTACTTACCATCGTTTTAACAATGTTATTTGGCCAGGTCATTTTCCCAGGTCTCTGTCTGGTCGTCATGCACTCCCAATATTTATCAATAAATGGTATGATATCCTAATTTTTAAAACAAAATATACTAAAGCTTTTATAGTTGCTTTCAAAATTATATTCACAAAAATAAAAAAACGCAGCGTTTTCAAAGACCTTGTCAGAATCAAAAGACAAATTCACGTTTTGCCTTTTAATAACTGAACAAATACATAATTGCATGTGAACAACATATAGGTTGTGGGGAATTTCAAACAAGTATACATATACAAGGAATTCCCTGGTGGTCCAGTGGTTTAAGACTCTGCGCTTCCACTGCAGGGGGCACGGCTTCGATCGGGGAACTAAGAGCTGGCATGCAGCAAGGCGCAGCCAAAAAAAAAAAAAAAATTCTGATTCAAACAAGTATATACAACTCTTAGTCACACAGGGCTCATAATCCAGTTAAAGGGAAAAGACCTGCCCTAACTCTGTAAGATGACTCCCAGGTACTCTCTCTCCTGAGCTCCTGTTCCTTCCCACCAGACACATTTCCATCTGGAAACCCGCAGGCACCTCAGACTTCTCGTGACCAAGACTGAACTCTGTACCTCACCTCATAAATCTGCTCTTAACACTCAGAATCGCCCGTCACCCAGAGTCACAGGCTTGAAACACGGAGTCACTCTTGTTCTTCTCGTACAACCTGCGCATCTAAATGGTCACCAAGTGAATTTTTTTTTTAATATTTATTTATTTATTTATTTGGCTGTGTCGGGTCTTAGTGGCAGCGTGCGGGCTTCTCTCTAGTTTTGGCGCGGGCTCTAGAGTGTGAGGGCTCAGTAGTCTAGAGGCATGTGGGATCTTAGTTCCCCGACCAGGGATCAAACCCGTGTTCCCTGAACTGGAACAGCAGATTCTTAACCACTGGACCACCAGGGAAGTCCCACGAAATGAATTTTTAAATTTCAGAAACTTCACCAATCAGGGCTCCTTTCCACCCCCACTGCTTTGACTGTGGTCCTCGCCAGTCCCTGCTTGCATGACTACAACAGTCTCTGAGCTTGATGCTCTGGCACCAACTTCCCCCCATCCTAGGCCACCTCCCCCAGCCCGCCAGAGTTTGTCCGCCGCTAACACCTTCCACCAGAATCAGTTCCGTGAACACCAAATCTTTACTAAAAGGAACCAGGCTGAATCAGGCAAAACACAAGGGAAGACTGGGATGTTCTGTTGTTCCAGAAAGTAAGGAAGAGTTCAAAGACTGAAGAGGGACATATCAAAAAGTGTCAGGAGTCAGCCGGGAAGGGTCTACACTGGTCACATCTGAGCATCAGAAATCCAGAAATCCCATATGTACTATAAAAATCGGTGATTCTTAAAATTAAAAACAGCAACAACGGTGGGGGGGAGGACTCTTCTTTACAGAAGAACTGTAAACCAGTAAATGTATTCTGTTTACAATGACCATTCTATTAACTGCTTCAGGCTAGGACAGTCAATGGCTGCTACAACCACTGCTTGAAAGGATAAATTACCTAATAATTACAAAGAAAAAGGGGTCTCTTTACAATGGAAACATCAAATAGTTAAATTCAGGACGACTAATAAATAACCTCTTTACTCAAGTAGTCAAATTTAGGATGACTAATAATAAAACAAAGCAATATCTTATGTCTCCTGATGTGATACACAGAAAAACACACACTATCTACATAATATTCTTGCCAAAAATGTTTAACCCGAACCTAATCATAAGGAAATAATCAGATAAATGCAAATTGAGGAGCATCATGGCAAATAACAGTCTAGGCGCTTCAAAATTTCAAATGTTATAGCAGACTAAAATAACAAAGTAAAATAAAGGAACTATTCTAGAGATAAAAGAGACATTACAACTAAATTTAATGTGTGATCTTGATCAGGTCCTGGATAGAAGAAAAAGCTATGACAGATATTATTTAGACAATAAAAATACTGAGAAAATATACACTCAATATACAAAAATATAATCTGTATGTATAAGATAGTTGTATTGCATCGACATTAAGTTTTTTCAGTATGATCACTGTACTGTGGTTATGAGAGAATATTGGGTAAAGTGTAATATCTACAATTTAGTCTCACATAAGCTTAGGGGGAATATATAGATACGGGGAGATAAAGCAAACACAGCAAAATGGTAACAGCTGGCAAATCTAGATAAAGAATAAACAGATGTTCACTGTACTATTTGAATTTTTCTATATATCTGAAAAATTCAGAATAACAATTTAGAGAAAAAAATAACTAAGAGGCAAACCTAATCACAGCACACCTCTATTTAAATGCATTCTTTTTAATGTAGGAAAAAAGGTTGGGGTGGTGAGGCGTGGGGAGGGGACCCTCTGCTGACTCCTCCGGCTTACAGGATTGTCTAACCTCTCTGTTTAGTGGAAAAGGCCCTGGTCAGTCTGATCCTGAATATATTCATCTCACTAAATATCCTATACCAACCAGTGTCATTCTTTTTTTTTTTTGGCCTGGCCGCACAGCTTGCAGGATCTTAACTCCTCCACCAGGAATCGAACCGGTGCTCCCTGCAGTGGAAGCGTGGCCCCTGCAATGGAAGCTCCAAGTCCTAACCGCTGGACAGCCAGGGAATTCCCCAACCAGTGTCTTTCAAACTGTAGGCTGCAATCAATTAGTAGGCTATAAAATCAATTTTGTAGGTCAATACTAGCATTGACTAGAATAGAAACTATCAGCACGCAGAGGGAAAAGATTAGAGGGTGCCTCCGTTTTAAATGAGAGTGGGTACATATGCACGTATGCCAGGTAACAGTGTAAACTCCAAAGTTGTAAAATTTACTTAAGTCACATTTTGTTACCGTGAGTCACAGCAGGAAAGACTCACGGACGGGCTGATCATCTAATTCTGAGTCCTGACTTTAGTCATGCGGTTTTCCAGTTTAACAATAGAGGATGAATCTTTTTAATAAACTGGCCTTTTCCCCTGACAAAATCTGTGATTGGCATCCATAAAAACAGCTCAAACTAAGCTGAGAAGGTTCACCTCAAGGTCTGATTAGTAACTGTGGGACAGACAGTTGTTTGTTTCTAAAAGCCAATCAAAACTATTTAAAGATTTATCTTTCTTTTTTTTAAAATACACTTTTTTAATATAAGGATTCATCCTTCTAACAGCTAAGCCAATGACACAATGAGCACACACTAGGAAGTTAGTAAATCACATGAAATGAGAACAAAGTAACCACTGAATTAGTCATATATTCATAAAAATTGGGGGGAAAGAACTTATTGTTAGACTGTACAGTTGACCCCTGAACAACTCTGGGATTAGGGGCACCGACTGTCTACACAGTCAAAAATCCTCATGTAGGTTTACAGTCAGTCCTCTGTATTCGTGGTTCTACATCCAAGGATTCAACCAACCTTGAAATGTGTAGTACTGTAGGATGTACTCAGTGAAAAAAACCTGCATATAAATGGACCAGTGAAGTTCAAACCCATGCTGTTCAAGGGTTCACTGTATTTAGAAGTTCCTCCTGATTCTTTGGCATAATTGCAATTACAATAATTCTATCTCTACCTTATCTTTGGAGAACATGGTTTTCGGATGTTCATCCTGTGTTCGGGACTGCCAGGTTAGGTTGGCCAAAGCACTAAGGCACATTTCTTTCAAGTCTATAAAAACAAAAAGGAAGAAAAAGTTACCTGTAGTAATATATCCCTGTTACCAAAAGAATATTCAACTAGGTGGTCCACAGATTAACAACCACAGCAGCAAAGAATAGAGTCATCATTTGATCTGAAATGAACAATAGCAATTATTCAGAGCTAAGCCCCAAGGTAACTTCTACCAGCTACCAAGCAAAGGTTTCCTGATTCGGCTGAGCCCAAATCCCTTTTCTTTGCCAGCTAACCAGAGGACAGTCACTTTGCAGTACTCCGGAGTTTGTCCTTACTTGCTTGCTTCCGGAGGAAGTAGGTATTCCCACTATGATGGCATACATTGCAGTGGAAACTGTAGTTGGTCATGAAAGGTAGACAGGATCTGGAGAACAGCCAAATTGTGCAAATTAGTGAAGTTCTGAACACACACTTATGAGAAGTAAATCAACGGGGATCCTTTCCCTCAGTGAAAGTTACATAATAACGCTAATGTATTAATATACTCTTAAAACTTAAAAAAGTCACCAAGGGAATTCCCTGGAAGTCCAGTGGTTAGGGTTCCACACTTCCATTGCAGGGGGCACAGGTTCAGTCCCTGGTCGGGGAACTAAAATCCCACATGCTGCACAGCAGGGGGGAAAAAAAAAAAAAAAAAAAAAAAAAAGTCACCGAAACAGGGCTCATATTTTTACAAATACCTGGATTTTTCTGTCAAAAAAATTTAGTAAGACATTATCCACTATAGTTGATAATTCAGCATCTGCAAGGTTCTGACCTGAGCCCTATCCAAGCTAGTTTATTATAGTTTGTAAGCACCTAAAAGAGTATACCAGGCGACTTGTGGAAGAAGACAAAGTAGTCTCTTTAAGTATCTTTACATTTAAATATCTGTATTTATATTATAGTCAAGTATCTTTGTAAAGTGCCAATACCATTGTTGGGAAGGGCAGACAAGTATAAAAAGATTAATTTTAAAATGTAAATAATTATTCAAGAACAACACAGAAGTCACAAAACATTACTTGCCTCATTTTTACCAAATGAATCCTACAGATGACAGTTAGTCTTACTTAAGAGTTTAAAGGACCCAAGTAGTAACTTCAGATTTAAGAGTTAGGGAAGATTTCTTGAGGACACAAATTAGGATTTGGAAAGATGAGTTGGTCTTCTTTTCTACAGGCAAACTATTTTGTGTAGAGATGAGAAAGTGCAAACTAGGAGGCAAAGGGGCAAACTGGTGTACACAAGTTTGGCCAGGGGAGGGGAGCTGGCGGGGGTATGGTAAAAGATAAGGCTTGAAAGGTAAGAAGTACAAGAGGCCTCACATGCCTGTGGAAGTGGACCTTCTCTGTGGGTAACAGGAACATCTTGAAGGGGAAGCCACCTTGTGAAAGCAGTAAGTTTAGTGACAGGATGGGTCTGAAGGGAAGAAGAGATTAGAAGCGGGAATATGGAAGAAGCTTCTGTAGCAGTTCCAGCAGAAGGTTAAAAAAAAAAAAAGCCCTCACCTCGAGTGAAACAATAAATATGGAAAGGACAAGCAGGTGCACAAGAAGAAAAAAAACTGGTCAAGCTTGGTAGCTGATTTCATGGGGGCCGGCATGAAATAAAAGGAATCCTAACCACTAAGACTGCTTGTATCATAGAGGAAATCTCCTAAGAGGTGAGCTGGGGGCAAGAGAAGGCCTGTTTGAAGGCAGAGAGGAAGAAACTGGTGGAGGGAGAGACTGAGGGCTAACAGGAACCATGCATTAGAGAAGTGTGGTGGCTGTACTGGGTGACTGGAAAAGTAAAGGGAGAGCTTGGTTCTGAAAAGGAGAAAGTAAAAGAAAAACAAAAGACTGGTTTAAGTTGGAAGAGAAGAGATCAGAATAAAGGCAGGTTTATCTTGGACTTTGCTGAAACTGGTTTAAGGTATCCTTAAGAGATGTTCCCAAATGTGTGTCTACTGCCACCACTCAAGGAATTAAGAAATATCCTTAGGACTGTTAAGATCAAGTTCCCTTACCTTTACCTCTCTCTAGAGCCCCTTCCATTAAACAGTCCACTGTGATAAGCTCACTTACAGAAGAGATAGACAGGTATATAGTTACCTAATTCAAATACAATCAGGTGTTTAGAGCAGCCTTTTTCATACCCTGCTAGCTCACTCACTTCCTCCATCTCAGCCATAAACGATAATCTGTCCCACCTGCTGGGTTTTAGGTATAACTTCTCAAATTCAGGTACAAACTGGTCTCTACCAAACCTCTGAACTGTGGTTTGATTCATTGATGGATTGTTCCACATTATCACTCTGATAAATTTCCTTTCCTAGACCCTGTTTATCCAAACAAATTCTCCTTGGCAAAAGTGGCCCAATGTTAGGTCTTTTCTAACTGACCAGCTTATATATTTTCCCTATAGGCTTTTCTACCAAGATACTTCTTCCTGATCCTTCAGTAATTTTCTTGCTTTTTTAAACATTCTATCCTTGCTCACCAGTCACATATTAATAAGAACATTAGTATTTCTTTAACTTTTTAACTAGAAAGCAGTCATCAAATTATAAAGGAAGGTTATTTCTTCACAAACCCATCCAAGGGGGATTAATTTCAGAATTAACAACACAGCCCTATTCTGAGACAGTCTTATCTAAATTTATTTGTATAATACGGACCATAAAGAACACCCCAGAGAGGCAGCAGTATAGTTATTTCCATAGACAGTGAGTCAGTAATGCTGCCTTGCTAGCTGTTGACCGAATACTCAGAATAAGTAAAGGAGCCTTTCATCGTCAATCGTTCATAAAATGATTTTAATTCACTAGAAGAGGTGTAAAGACTGGAAATTGGTTTTGCTGAGGAGAGAATTCAGGACACCTAAAGGGAGTGAATTAGAAACCAAAAGAAAAAAAAGGATGGCTCAGGCATGAAGAGGACTGGCCATCTCAAATTTTTGACATCATGCTTTTTCCACCATATACACCAACCCTTTCCCCCAAATCCACAACACCCAATACAAGGTTTAAATGACATTGTCTCAAATTTGTTTATTTAATGCTTTGTAATTACATGGTTTGTCTCCCGTCCAGGCCCTAAGTGCAAACACAGGGATAATAACTATCATTATACCTGTTAAGGGCTTGCCCTTAGTAGAGAGAAGACATGCTCAGGCTATTAAAACAATTCCTGATTCAAATCCTACTACTCACTGAACAGGGATGAGGAGACACAGGAAACGCTACGCATTTACGTTTGCCTACACACTGACTATTCAACTGTTGGACGTGTTGAGATCTAACATTTACAAAGTGATTCTTACAAAGTCTATGAAAAATACTCACGAGGTATCTATGCCAAAGGTGTCTGCTGTGAACCATTTGGTACATATTCCACACTGCAGCTCCACCTCTCCCAACTGGCGACCATTCTCTTCATCCACGGAGCCCGCCTGAGTATCCATCACCTCTGAAGTATCCCCAGCACCTTCCTGTGTCCACAGAACCATGAGAGAATCAAGTTAGTCGACCTGACTGCATTTTTGATTCGCTTAAAAACTTTAAAAACCAACCCCATTTTGCTCTGCAAACATCCAAAAGAAATACTTACTAGTGTATCCTTTCCATTAGAGGATTCTGTCTCCAAGCCACCACTTACATCAACTGAGTTTGCATCCCTGTAAAATAAAGAAAGCACTCAGAAAGAAGAATTTTCAAGAGAAACACACCTGAAAACGCCTATTCCCAAAGATGATGATCAAAGTACAGCTGAACTTCACACTCCTACTTTTTTCAGCAAAGACTGTTCTCAGACTGGACGCCCAGCTTTAGGAAGAATGCGGCCAAGATAAACCCAAGCCCATGGCGCTTGACGGAAACCTAATCGGCCCTTACAGACAAGTCTACAGGGGATGGAACTGGTCCTGGGGGAGGTTCGAAGAGATGCAGCTTTTCCGCTCTGTTTTCAGAGGGACCATTACTTCCACCAGTCTGGCAGCGCAAAGTGGTTTCCTCTCTGGGATTTTTGAAGGGTTCCTGCTAGAAAGTGACCTATCAGCACCCTGCTGGTGTGCAAGGGCCAGGAGGTAGGAGGAGAAACTTGGCCTAAAAGGTGCGAAAGAGGCGTAGCCCGAGATACAGTTCAGAGGGGACAGGCCAAGCGGCGAGCGGGACTAAGGTCCGGGAGGGAGCAGGGCGAGCGGTTGGCCGCAGGACCTGGGTTCGGAAGAGGCGGGCAGGAGGGCTCCCGGGAGCCGCGGGATTCCGAGAGGGGCGGGCCTCCCTCCCTCCCTCCCTCCCCTCCCCCCGCCCCCCTCGGTCCCCC